AGAAAGAGTCGTTCTCACGACGCGTGAGAACCGACACGCTTCGCAGGCGAATTTGTCTCTCCCAGCTCGCAGAGGAACATGACCGGTTAGGAGAGTTTTCCTCGGTGGGCTCGCTCGATTCCTGGAATCGGGTCCCAGCATCCGGTGGACCTCGACTTAGGAGGCCCCTTCTCACGGCCATCGGGAGAACAAGAGGGCCCAAGAAGTCCTCTCAAAATTCGATATACCCACGTCCCCGGGAATCGTCGGGGACTCTCCGGTACCAGGAATTTCTGGCATCCGGGACGCTTGTCATCTGGCAAACGGTCGGTCGATAAATCCAAAGCCGTAAAAAAGGTTTCCGAGGAACGTCCCCGGCCGTGGGAACGCCGCTCCCGGGACCGGCGATTTCCTTCCCACCAGACCCAGAGGAACATAAGTTCGGAGAAGACCTCTGGAGGAAAGGGCTTCGGAGACCCTGAAGCTTTACCGCGGAAATAGAGCTCACATTAATCACAAGAAGTTACACTTGCTTCTAGGAATATGAACCCTGGAAAATGGACCGGCAATATTCTCGAACAAACAGAACCGATCATTTCATCGGGGCAGAAATTCTATTCATGGTTGCGATATTATCTGCGATATTCTACGCAATAGCAACGACTAATTGTATATCGGTCAGACGTTCGAGGGGCGACGATACTTTTTTTTTTAACTGTCGCTACAAATTCATTCGTTAATTTGAGATGCATTTTCCTAAAGAAATCCCTCTAATGACTGCATTCGACGTAATTGCAAATATTTTCACTGTTGTACGCGGAAATAGAGCTCACATTAATCACAAGATGTTACACTTGCGTCTAGGAATATGAACCCTGGAAAATGGACCGGCGACATTTTCGAACAAACAGAACCGATCATTTCACCGGGGCAGAAATTCTATTCATGGTTGCGATATTATCTGCGATATTCCACGCAATAGCAACGACTAATTGTATATTGGTCAGACGTTCGAGGGGCGACGATATTTTTTTTTTTAACTGTCGCTACGAATTCATTCGTTAATTTAAGAAACATTTTCCTAAAGAAATCCCTCCAATGACTGCATTCGACGTAATTGCAAATATTTTCACTATTGGTGCGATTATTCCTGCAGGAAGAGCTAAACTTCATCAGTATATATTGTCCTCTGCTGAAAGTGCAAATGTCTTCTTTTTTCTGGATACTTCCCCCGGGATTACGCCGGGGGAAGGATTAAATAACCCCGTCGACGATTCTTAGAAAAACTTCGTTTTAACGCTTCGTCTTAACGTTTTAACACTTTAAACTAAATTTAATGAAAATAAAAATTCCAAGAGGTAACATGGTGCTCACTGTTTTATTTTGAAGTACATATCATGACATGTTTGAGTGAATACGATGAGTAAGACATTAATCAGGCTACATCTCGACCGATAACAGGAATGTTGTAAGAAATCGATGATACTGATCTAATCTGTTAATTCGAACGTTTACGTTTCAAATCGAGATCGATGCCACTTCCGTTAGTACAGTGCATAGCAAGCTTACAATTCTTTCATTGGCAAGGACGGTCGGTATTTCTAAATAAAAAAATTTAATTTAATTGTAATTTCTTAACGGAACAATTTTGCACCTGTTTATATGTATTTATTTTTTCCTGTACGTTTCGGCACAGTCTGATCGTTTAGTTTAGAAAGAGTTCGCTAAGGTATCGAGAGCAGCCTTTTCACGGGAAATCAGTTCGCCTCTCCGGCGGTATTATTTCTCGAAATCTGCACGTCCAGGATCCCTGACCACCTCGAGACGTCTGTTCCCCTATTCCGTGTTTACACCTGAATCCTTGCTGATCCTGCCGTCAAAGGAGATCCGCCTTTAGTGGCCTATCGACCGTGAAATTCGGATAGGGGCCTTTCGAAATGCCATCGCGGCTGCCTTGGTGTATCCTAAACAGCTTTTCTAACTCCTCTGGGCTCCTGGATTCCTGACGATTTTACGACACCCTGAGGAAGATACCGAGCGGACAAAAAATCCAGAGCACGCGCGACGTCCCACCATAAATAACTCTCGAATTACCGCCACTCACCGTGACGAAGATTCGAGGAGAAATAAACCCCAAGCCCTAAAATCCCCCGGCCTAAAATTTCGTCGCCATTCCGCCAGAGGGCGCGTCCGTCACTTCGCCTCGGTTCCGACTACCTTTTTCGGGCCCCTGAATTCCTAATCCCTCTGTACATAGAAACGACTTTTTAAATCCAGAACTGCATCCTTCATTGGCCGAATGAGAAGGGAAAATGAACGCATTGGAGGGAAGGTATTAACCTGCGGCTGGAGATCATTTTTTATCGCCATCGCGGCAAAGTCGGGCTCGAATAAGGACGAAATTTTCGTATCCTCATTCCTTTCCCCCTCGTGGGGCCTCCTTTGACATCGCTCCTCTTGTCGGCTGGTTTCCTGATCCCTCGACGCGCCTAAATGGGCTCTGTCAATGCAAAACAAATTGACCGTGAAACCACAAGTAGTCATTTGGCACCCAAGTGCCTATTGGGAGGTTCCCAGAAATTTCCCCTCCCAAAATTTCGAGGGCCCTCACCTCCTGAGGTCTTCTGCAACCCTGGCCCTTATATGCTGGAAAATTGACTTTTAAATGACTGCTCTCGAAAATCGGCCAACTTAATAATGACTGGCTGTCCCGCAGGTCCTGGTGAGGACGTCCTAATGTCGGTTTAAAGGGCGTTAATAACCCCGGCCTCTGAAAAGCAGGTCGATTGACGATAATTAGTTAATCATTCGGAGGACCGGAGGGAGTAGCGTTTACTGATTTATTACGGTACCCATGCCGTGTTAATCATCGCGTCGGTTTTAAGACTCGACCTACGAAATCGGCGGTGCAATAAATCCTTCCCCTTTTCGATGTCTCCTCGGATAAAAGCATAATGGTTCCTCGTTCGTTTCGTTCCTCTTTGCCTCCGAGGAGAAAGGGCAGTGGTCCGCCCTCTGGCTGGACCCTCCTCCGAAAAGCCCTGCCCTCTCCGAGAAGAATTCTCCCCAACCTCCTGAAAAATCCAGAACTTAGAGAATGACAACACAACCCGGCGAAATAACAGCGGTAAACTGTAAAATGTCGAATTATCGAGAAATTTCCTATATATCGCATCCTTTCTGGTGGGCTGGACAACTCAAGTTGTTCGGTAAAGCGACAGAGATTCCACGAGGGACGCGGGGCCTCCAAGATGGCGGCCGCGCAGGAGGCTCGGCCGCCATCTTGGTTTCCGCTCTAAAATGCCGTACTCCCGAGGAATCTCCTTTCTCTCAAGACTGGCGTGGCTGGAGGAACGCCCACTCCTCCTCGAGAACTCCTCCGACTTTCTGCCGGCCTGTTGAAAATGGTACCACCAGTCTGGTCGGGTGGTAACCCTTTCGCCGTTCTGGCGAACGACGCTGCCCGCCGGCCCTGCGGAACCTATTTCGGACCCCCTTCTAGGGAGCGTCCGTTCCAGCGGGAACCAGGGGTCCTAGGACTCCCCGGGAGCACCGGCTCCAGAAATCCCTCCTCTCCTTTCTTCGAGACCGAGGCAACCTCTTAGGAGCCGCGACCTTCTCGTCGAGATGCCCTCCTATCCGCCGGGAGACGAAAATTAACCCGTTCGAGGCGAGGCGACGACTTCTTTACGGCCGCCCCTGGCTTTCGGGCACCTTCTTCGCCGTCCTGCTCCCCTGGCTTGGGGTCTTCGATTAATTCGTGTTTACAATGTTCTTCACGCCTCGAAACGAGCCCTAACGACCCCCTATTAACCGCGACCGACAGCCGCGACAATGGCCGCCTTCTGGTCTCGATTTATGGACTCCGCCGCGTCGCCGGAATTCTTCGCCCCTGCCTTTTCTCGGACCACTCGTCCACCTGCTTCGTCTACCTGCTGCCCTGGTCAGATGAGGATATGAAATTTCCGTTGACATATTTCCGAATCGAGATCTCTGCCCGGGGATTGGCCCACTCGGGTCTCGCATTCTTTCCGTCAGCACTTATCATTATAAGTCAATTGAAATACTCTTCTGCCGAAAGGACACTTTCAGCGACCACTCTGAAAATCCCTGTTTTCGTATTCCTCAGATTTCTACCGGATCCTAATTTAAATTGTCATGTAACGATAGACTCGTTCTATGTCTATCCGTTATATTTTTCTTTTCTTTATTTATAAATTATTAGGATAAGAAATCCGCAATGAAGGATGAAATACATTTTTGCCAATAAAATACCTATTTTAAATTGACCCGCTATGCGCTGGAGCGAATTATGGACTCGGTTTAGGAATCATTCTTTTCTTTTTTTATAAATGAATATTATCACCTCTCGCCCGGCCGTGACCGTTGGCTGATTTAAAATCATGTCGTTGTTTTTTTTCTTCCGTGATTACGGTGTTGTGAAACGGACATTCTACGTGTATCAAAATATTTATAAAACTTTTCTCCAAAGTAGGTCCATCGAATCATTTGAAACTTCAGCACGTGGTTATGGAGGCCCTATGAAAGAACGTGATGCTCGTGAAATTTAATTTAAAAAAGTCATATTAATTCCAGACTAGAACCAAGAACATATTGTCTTGAAGAATGAAATTTCAGGATCAGCGCGCTCTTCCTTAGGGCTTTCATAATCACGCGCCGAAGTATGAAATAATTCGGTGCATCCAGTTTTGAGGAAAGTTTTAAAAATATTTTGACGATTTAATATATGTAAATAGAATGACACTTTAAGGGCGCCATATTGAAAAATGTATGGAATGTTGTACACGGCGCGAGAGGACCAAGGGCTGCGTCGGGCCCCGGATTTTCGGGAGCCTTCTCGAGGGTCCTAGATTCCTGGTAGGAAATCTCGGCCTAATTCGAAATGACAACGCCCTTTGTGTCAGGCGTGGATGAATTCCACTCGAGCAGGACGATTGTTAATACGTGCCAAATGGACGTATCAAAAGGAACCCACTTCGACGCGTCACGCCTTGACAGCCATGGTTCCTCTCGACTCCTGCTCGCTCATGGTCTTCTGGTATTCAGAGGGCAAGAAACATCCGTTGAAAAATCTCCAAAACGTTCCGTGTACTTCTTTCCCACCCCTTCCCCCGTCAAGATGGAGATCCCCTAGCGAGCCCCAATTTGACGGCTAGTTATAAAATTCTAAGGACGAGGTCGTGCTCCAGCCGTGTTATGCTATCCTAGGAGAACTGTTTACCAAAACCATTTCTTGACAATGGACTCGACGGGCCGGAAAACCGCAAAAGGGGCGAAGGAACCATTTCGGGAAACTCCCCTCCGTTCCTCCTTCGCTCCCCTACTTCGGCTCGCTTCGGCCTTCTTCGGCTCGCTTCGGCTCGCGGGCGGCCCCCACTCCTCGAATTCCTGGCCTCCTGGTCCGAGAGAACGGCAAAGTAGTGAGACTTTCTTGGACCTTTCAGTCCAACACGTGCAACGGGAATTTTTTGTCCTCTCGCGAGGCGCAAACCTGTTACCGCAGGTGCCAAAGCGCACTTATGGCTGCCGATTTTACCAGAGGTTGTTAGTACGATCTCGATGCGTCGATCCTTCTCTTCACCCCCGACTGCGCCAAGAAGCTGCTCGGATAACCTCAAAACGCCCACATGGTTTGCGATTTACAGGTAAATTAGGCTATTTTTAATCTCCTTCCCCGATTGATTTCTTCTGACGGGTTGACAAAGATTTCTTGATACAAGGGGAGGTGGGTACACTCGAATATTCGGATCATCGGGGAGATAATGACGGGACGATACAACGGGAGGTTTAACCATGAATTATTTTCTTTTTCGGGTCCTGGTGGAGGTCCTTCTCCTGAAATGGATGCTACCTCCTGCTTGATCTTGCGACCTTAATATATCAGTTTACAGATAATACTTCTTCACAATGGACAGTCATGCGACTCTGTGACAGGAGCACGGTGACATTTCTATTTGGGGCGATATAAAAATCGTAAGCGTGCGATTAATGCGTATTCCCTTTTGTGGGTTATTTGCGATATTCCTATAGGTAAAGACAGAAAAATGTATAACTATTTGTTTGGACTCAACGACCGAAATAAATGCTTTTAAGGCGCGTCGGGAGCGTCCTCGCTTATGCCTTGAGGTTCCTGGGTGGATATTTCAAGATTATCGGGGAAGATATCGAATTAAGAAACGTTGATAATGCGATAACCTTCGAAGGGCTTTGGGTTTGACAACTTCGGCACAAGTTATGTCTGCCTGGGAGTCGTGTTTACAGTAGTGATTTTTCTGAATGGACGTAACGGTTCCCTTAACGACCTTCCCTAAGGCGACCTTTGAGAATTGCCTTTCCATTGCTTGCAATTCGCTTCAGCGGTAGTTTGTCAGATAAACAGCAATCTCGTATTCCTGTTATACAGGGTAATCCATAAGTCGCTTGACCATTTAAAAATTTTTATTCGAGGAGCTGTTCACTCGGAACAAACAATTTCCTTCGAGAATCGATTGCCTTTTAATTTCATATGATAATTAACAATGCAACTCAATAACAAGTGCCTCGAAATTGTGACAATGTCTCGGTGATTTTCAACGATTTCAATGATTTCTGCTTGGGAGCATTAAAATTCATGATTTCCTGAGTAAATCCTGCTCACAGCTGCATTTTCACTCCGATTGAATGATCATAATAAATCTCCAGGAACTTGAAAATCTGTGAAAAAAAGAATGTGAAAATTGATGCCAAGAAATAATGCAATTTTTGAATGGTAAAGCGATCTACGGGCCACTCTGTACATATCAGGGTGTTTCTTAAAAGGAGAGGGCCACTTCCAAAAAGGTCCTGCTCGCCTGGGAAAGTTGTTTACGAAAGTCATTTCGATGAATGGAAAAGTTAAGTAGCCGTGAAATTGAATCCTGAGAAGGGCCCCCCTGCCTTCGCTTTTGGGCCACTTCAAAGACGAGGGAAGCAGAAAACTCGAAATTCCGAGTGAACAGGGAAAACGAGGAGCTTCCACTCGCTTGATGTTGCCCTGGGAATTAGCCTATCGATGTCAAAGATAATCCCCAGTAAATCGGAGATCAACGGATTAGACCGGTTACTTATCCATTTACCTGCTCTACCGTGTCCTGGCCGACCTCATACCTGGACACGGAATTTGAAACGGGACTGCAGGAAAATCCAACTCTCTGCCGGCATAATATCCTGCTACAGAAATAGAGCACTCCTCAAAATCCTAACCCCTTTAGATCCCCATCACGTCCCAAATAATTAGATCGGTGGAATGAAAAAAAAAAAATCCACCCGTGCCCCGTTAACCCCAGGAGGGAAACTTCCACACAACTGATGTTTCCCTGAGAATTTCCATATCGATTTCAGCTATAATCCCTAGGTGATTCCAACCTGCCGGCGAGCCGTTTAGTCACGCCAATCCCCTGTTTACCTGAGTCGCACCTGTTTCAACACCTGCCCACTCGGTCCCGGAAATTCTCCTCCCCCGGCATGCTGCCCTGTTATGGAAATGGAACAATTTTCTTTTTTTATTTTTTCTCTTCTAACCGGGATTACCCCGAGACGTTGCACAATTACGAAAGCTTTAAATGGAGAGTTCGAGCGTCCCCTGAGAACATTGAAATTCCTCAAAGCCGACGAAGTGGCGAGCTACCGTCCACTTGATGTTTCCCTGAGAATTAGCCTATCGATTTCAGCCATAATCCCCAGTAAATCCTGACCTAGTAGATGTCTGACGGGAACGACGCCCTAGGTGCGTCCGTCTACCTGGCCCTTTCGAGTCACCTGCAGCTATTGGCTAGAGACGAAACCCCTGCGCCGAAATTACCTCCTGGTATCCTGCTACCAAACTGGAGCAGTCGCCTTGATCCTTCAACCCTTTACCCACCTGTCGAGGTCTATCAGGTGTCCTAGCTCTGAAATGATGCGAGACGATTTACGAAAATCCCCCCGCCCTCTAATGTCACTTTGAGAATTAGGCCGCTTTCAATTAAACTCCATATACAGGAGATTACGGTGGAGGGTAAGGAATTAATTTTTTCTGAATTCTGGTAAATAGTCATTTCGATCTATCCCCCTATCTGGCAAGTCTTGTCCGCGTGACACCTTCTCCTCCCTATACGTCCCTGCTGGAAATATTCCCCGTAGATGCCCCATGGATCCCACGTTCTCACAGGGGAACCACGTCCTCGGATACGGCAGGACTTTTTCCGCCGACAACTGGTCGTGAAGGATGCCTGGGATGTGGCGGTCCTCCTTTTTCCCCGCCATTGCTCCTCGAGGGAGATTAGATCCCGGGTCCTGGGTCCCGGAGGAGCGCCAAACGCATTCCTCGTAAGGAGTCATAAAGCCTCGACAGCTGGCTCGCACATTTGACCCAACCGTGAGGTCGTGAAAGGTCGCCGATCCGCGCGACCTTGACTCCGAGGCGCGCGTTCGGGTCGGCGGGTCAGGGGTCAGCGACCTTGACCCTTTGCTCAGGTCGATTACCCAATGTTTTTTCAAATGGAATTTACTACGGCATTTATGGTAGTTATGCTAGCACGTTCGCTTATCCATTCAAGAGGCCCCTTATCAACCATGACAAAAAAAAATGTGATTGTACCAAAGAAATATTATGTTAATTCAAAGTATACCCAAGTAACCTGCAATAAATTAAATGCAACATTCCCTCGGAATAACGACAACTTATTGCAGCTTATTAGTAAAAATAATGAGGATACGGGATAAAATTAAATAAGGGCAAGCGAGGACGTCGTGGAAGAATAACGAAGAATTATTAATATCTAATGATTCCCTTAGGATTTTTATTTCGTGGCGGTCAGGCGGCAACATTTATCGAGGGGATCAGGATTGAAAATTAACATGTCTTCCCAGAAGGGAGAGAATCCTTCCTCGGACTCGTGAGAATGACCTCGCGAGGTCGAGTCGCAATGGAATTCCCTGCAATAAATAATTCTGCGCGCGCATCGGTAATGCACGTGCATGGGAGGTGCGCGTCGTCCTTCTCCGCCGGTCGCAGCCTCGCTGACCTTGAGGCGATACCAACGACCTTTGCCGCGATTCCCAAGGCGGTCGGCTCCCCCTCCGGCGAGATGCATCGGAGGATGCACCTGCGAAACCGGTTCTCCCACGTACGGCAACCGTGACCGATGGGTTTACGAGAATGAAAGCCGCTTACTATGGCGGCGCCGTTTCCTCCTACGGTCATTCTTACATTTTTCCGGGATACTTGGGTATTACGAAAATACATTTCCAATGGATAAATGCACCTGGGGGGTCTTAGTTCGGTCTAGGAAATCTATATCGGAGGGGGATATATGTACCCAAGATGTATCTAGTAGAGACGGCTGGCCGCGGACGGGTCTCTCCCGAAGGAACGCTCCTCGGCCTCGAGAATCCCGGGGATAGCTTCTTGCCCTGTCCTGCACTCCTGCTATCAGAAGCGCCACGCGCCTTCGCCGTTTTCCCACGCGCCCTCGCTCGGTTCTCACGCGCATCCGCGTCGGGACGTCCACCTCCTCTCCGTCCTCCAGGCCAGCCAAGCCTGATCCCGCGTCCCGGTCGGGATAGAAAGAGAGCCGAAGAAAGGACAGGCGTTGCCAGATTGGGGATTTTACGGGCCGTGAGAACCTGGAATCCAGGTTGTCGCGCAAAGAAAATTAACAGGCCTCATTGGAATATTTCTGCGATCTAGACGTTTCAGCCATGTTGACTTTACTTTGTAGCACTTAAAAAAAAAAAAAGCAGAGATATGGAAATTCCGAAATCGCGGAAATTTGGATTTTGTCGACCCTAATGGGTTCTCTGACGTCAGATACATTCAGAGCCTCCCAGAACCTGGAAAACGTGAAAATGGCGATTTCGGAATTCGTTTATTTTTATTTTTTTCCTAACAGCTCTGGTTTTTGTAAAAATGAAACAATGCCACAAACAAAACTCAACGTGGCACAAACGTCTACTGATCACCCAGGGAGTTAATTCTGGATGGAACCAGAGACAAGATCATTTTGGTGGGACGGGTAAATTCGAAGCGATCAGCAGGTGGATGCGACACCCTTAACCCCATTTAACCCCAATATACGCATAATGCTTAAGAATTTATATTTCTATTCTACATGCCTGGGTGTATATATGTCATCCACATTTTTGTACGTACATATGTTATTACTAGAAAAAAAAAAAAAAATTCTGGCGAACCGCTCCCAGTGCGCGGAGTCGCCGGGGGCGGCACCACCTCCTCGCAAGAGGGCCGACCAGGAGGCCGCACGGCCACTTCTTGGAGGGACATGGGGTCCTGACCATCCAGGGTTTCGGTTTCTCGCGTTCCCGGAGACGCTCCCACGGTTGGATCCCGTGGGAACGATTTAATTGGTTGGGAATCTGAGCTCGTCCCGCCGAGGCGCCGCGCGGACTCTCTCTCTCTCTCTCTCTCTTCCTCTCTCCTTCTCTCCGCGTTTCTCCCGCGGTGTCCGGCGCAGCGTCCTCGGCTCTCTCGCTCGCGCCCCTTCACCTCCACCTTCACCTTCGTCGTTTAACCCCCGACTCGCGAGATCCTCCCTCCTCGGGACCCCCTGTATCGAATTTAATTCCCCCATAAAGTTGACCCTTATCACGATCGAGCCCTGCGATCAGGGCCGGTGCCACTAATTGG